ACTTGGAACACTGCTTTAGAAATTGCTTGGCTCCTTAAACACTGTCTTTTTAAAAGCATTTATTTATTTGAAAGGCAGAGTTAGAGAGAGAGAGAGAGACAGAGAGACAGTGAGACAGAGAGGTCTTCCATCCACTGGTTCACTCCTCAAATGGCTGCAAGGGCCAGAACTGGGCCAGGCCGAAGCCAGGAGCTTCCTCCAGGTCTCCCACGAGGGTGCAGGGGCCCCAGCACTTGGGCCATCTTCCACTGCTTTCCCAGGCGCATCAGCAGGGAGCTGGATGGGAAGTGGAGCAGCTGGGCGCCCAATGGGAAATCAGCGCTGCAGGCAGCGGCTTACCCCCACTGCGTCCCAGCGCCAGTCCCAATAAATCTTTTGAAAAAAAGAAAGTATGGCTATGCTTTCTGTTGAAATCGTGTCCTCCTGGGCGCTGTCATACAAAAATCAGATTTTAGCGGCTTAGAGCTGGACGGAAACTCAGAGGCCCATTCCTCAATTACGTCTAACGCTGGTAAACAATAAGCAGGATGGCAGTACCAGACAGCTTTGATAAAAAGCCACAAACAATAGCTTGTGGAATGCCATCACGCCACAGGTGCACCCTTGCCAGTAATAAACGTGGAAACTCCGCATTCCTCCCCTTCGGGTTAACATAACGGTTGCCAGTAGTCAACATGGCTGCCACACCGTGCGCTCCCATTGGCGGCTGCCCTGAGGCCCCGCCCCAGACCGCCCCTCTCGGAGTTGCCGGGCTGAATTCCGCGGCTCCGGGCCGAGCTGCGCCTGCGCAGGTTATTGGCGCCAAGATGGCGATGGAGATGCGCCTTCCGGTGGCGAGGAAGCTTCCCAGCGAGAGTCTGGGGCGTGATACCAAGAAGCACCTGGTGGTGCCGGGGGACACGATCACCACGGACACGGGCTTCATGCGGTACGGGGGGCCCCGGGGTGCAGGGGGCGGCCGCAGGGCTCTGCACGTGATCTGCGGGCCCGACCGGGGCCCAGGGCAGCCCCTCGGCGTCGTCTGCGAGACGAGTCCCTGACGCCGCCTCGCCTGCACTCTGGCGGCCCCGACTCTGGGGGTCTGAAGCGCCGATCTCTGGGCGTTCCTTGCTGGGGGCGGGAGGAAGGGGACTCTACGGGTCCGGCCGTGTCCGGGGGCGGGGGCGGGAGGAGGGGGACTCTGCGGGTCCCGGCGGTGTCCGGGGGCGGGGGCGGGGGGCGGTAAGTCGGGGTCTCTGCGGGTCTCGGCCGTGTCCGGGGGCGGTAAATCGGGGTCTCTGCGGGTCCCGGCCGTGTCCGGGGGCGGTAAATCGGGGTCTCTGCGGGTCCCGGCCGTGTCCGGGGGCGGTAAATCGGGGTCTCTGCGGGTCCCGGCGGTGTCTGGGGGCGGGGGCGGGGGGCGGTAAGTCGGGGTCTCTGCGGGTCCCGGCGGTGTCTGGGGGCGGGGGCGGGAGGAAGGGGACTCCGCGGGTCCCGGCGGTGTGCGGGGGCGGGGGCGGTAAGTCGGGGACCCTGCGGTTCCCAGCCGGGGGCGGACGGAGGGCAGACTTGGCTTCCCTCCTCCTCCCTGAGCCCCCCACCCAGCTTGGGCCCGGGGTAGGGGTCGTTCCTGTGTGGGCTTAGGAAGACTCAAGGTTGCATGAACTACCTTGCATGAATACACGCTGTGCCGCAGGGCAGTGCAGGGCCTTGTAGTTGGGGGACAAGGGGGGCTCCCCGCCTGCCAGTCACCTTATCAGAGGTCCGGTTCCTGATCTGTAAGAATTTCTGACGGGAGTTACTGAAGGGTCGGATGGGAAAGATACAAGACTCACCGTTAGATCGCCGGCAGAGATAAGCACTGGCAGTGTTTCAGCCTCTTGGTTTTTTGTAGGAATGCACGTTTGCCGGGTGTACATCATCTTCAGCATCAATATTTGTTTATTTTTATTTATTTGACAGGCAGAGTGGACAGTGAGAGAGACAGAAAGGTCTTCGTCTGTTGGTTCACCCCCCCAATGGCCGCCATGGGCCTTGCGCTGTGCTGATCCGATGGCAGGAGCCAGGTGCTTCTCCTGGTCTCCCATGGGGTGCAGGGCCGAAGCACTTGGGCCATCCTCCACTGCACTCCCGGGCCACAGCAGAGAGCTGGACAGGAAGAGGAGTGACTGGGACTCGAACCCAGTGCCCATATGGGATGCCAGTGCCACAGGTGGAGGATTAACCAAGTGAGCCGCGGCGCCGGCCCCTGCTTATTTATTTTTGAGAGAGACAGAGTGTTGTTTCACTTCTCAACTGCCTGCAACCCTCTGGCTGGAGCCAGGAGCCAGGAGCGCAACGTGGGTCTCCCACGTGGGTGGCAGAGAGCCAGTCGCTTGAGTTGTCACTGCCGCTTCCCCGGGTCTGTGTTCGCAGGAAGCCGGAGCCAGCAGTCAGACCCAGGCACCAGATGTGGGAGGCCGGCTTCTTAGCTACAGGCTGAACACTTGCACGCCCACCACCACTCCCCTAACTTCTCCCGGGGCTCCCGGGCAGGTGCAGGGGCCCAAGCACTGGGCCCTCCTCTGCTGCTCTCCCAGGCCATAGCAGGGAGCTGGACGGGAAGTGGAGCAGCCAGGACTTGAACTGGCACCCACATGGGATGCCGGCGCTGCAGGCGGAGGCCCAACCTGCTGGCCCCACCCCAAGTTTGAGGTTGTTGGAATCTCCGAAATGTTAAAATTCATTCCTGTGTTCGTACTTTCGCCATATATTTGTAGTCCGTGTGGTCTGGGTGTAGCAGTGAACAAAATGAATTCTGTCCTGGCGGAGTTGGCGTCTGGGGAGACACAGATAGTGAGGAATATGTTGGCCGGCGCCGCGGCTCACTAGGCTAATCCTCCACCTGCAGCGCCGGCACACCGGGTTCTAGTCCCGGTCGGGGCGCCGGATTCTGTCCCGGTTGCCCCTCTTCCAGGCCAGCTGTCTGCTGTGGCCAGGGAGTGCAGTGGAGGATGGCCCAAGTGCTTGGGCCCTGCACCCCATGGGAGACCAGGAAAAGCACCTGGCTCCTGCCATCGGATCAGCGCGGTGCGCCGGCCGTGGTGGCCATTGGGGGGTGAACCAACAGCAAAGGAAGACCTTTCTCTCTCTCACTGTCCACTCTGCCTGTCAAAAAAAAGAAAAGAAAAAGAAAAAGGAATACGTTAGCACAACAGCAGACAAGGAGTGGGGTCAGTGTTGCGGCACCAGGGGTTAGGCCATGGCTTGAGGCCCCAGCAGCCCGTATCCCAGCCCAGGTTAGAGTCCCGGCTGCTCCACTTCTGATCCAGCTCTCTGCTGTGGCCTGGGAGGGCAGCAGAAGATGGCCCAAGGGCTTGGGCCCTGCACACACGTGGGAGACCTGGTGGAGCTCAGGGCTCCTGGCCTGGCTTGACCCAGCCCCAGCCCTTGCAGCCATGTGGGGAGTGAGCCAGGGATGGAAGATATGTCTGTCTGTCTCCCTGTCACTCTGCCTTTGAAATAAATAAATAAATCTTAAACAGCAACAAATAAGGCATAAATGGAGAGCGTGCTTGGGGATACGGCGGCAGTGGGGTGGGACACTGTTTGCTTTGTCTGTAATAGCAAAGGCAGGGGAGACCCTCCATCTGGCGTTTCGCTCCCGCAAACGCCCACGAGAGCCAGGGCTAGGCCAGGCCAAAGGCAGGAAGGACCCCGGCAACTCAGTCTGGGTCTCTCGCATGTGTGCCGGGGACCGGGATCTGCTGCCTCCTAGGGACTGCGTTAGCAGGAACTGGATCAGAAGTGGGGTAGCCGGGGCCGGCGCCTGCACCCACGTGGGAGACCTGGAGGAAGCTCCTGGCTCCTGGCCATTGCAGCCATTTGGGGAGTGAACCAGCGGATGGAAGACCCTTCTCCCTCTCTCTCCCTCTCTCCCTCTCTTCCGTCTCCCTCTCCCTCTCCCTCTCCCTCTCCCTCTCCCTCTCCCTCTCCCTCTCCCTCTCCCTCTGCCTCTGCCTCTGCCTCTCTCCCTCTCCCTCTCCCTCTCCCTCCTTCTGCCTCTCCTCTCTGTGTATCTCTGACTTTCAAGTAAAATAAATCTTTAAAAAAAAGTGGGGTAACCGAGACTCACAGCAAGCCCCCCGGTGTGGGCTATGGGGGTCCCACGTGGTGACTTGGCCGCTGTGCCCCTGCCCGCCCCTGGGATGGGCCAGGCGGGCTGCTGGAGGCGGTGACGTTGGAGCGACCTCTCTGGAGAAGGGGTGTGGCCCGCAGGGAGGGCAGCAGGAGCGGGCGGTGCTGGAGGAGCTCACGTGTAGTGCAGAGGGCGCCCGGGTCCCAGGTCCCAGCGTCTCTGCCTCTCGCGACAGGGGCCACGGGACCTACATGGGGGAGGAGAAGCTCATCGCCTCCGTGGCCGGCTGTGTGGAGCGAGTGAACAAGCTGATCTGCGTGAAAGCGCTGAAAACCAGGTGAGAGCAACAGGTGCGCGCTCCCGTCCTGTCCCATCAGGCCTCTCCCACCCCGCCTGCCACGGCCTGAGCCTCAGCCTGACCCCGCTGTGGGCGGCAGAGGCGTCCCCCACCGCCTGGGCGCTCCGAGCCAGGCTCCCTCCTCCGCACGCTGCCTCCTAGCCCCGGTGGCGTTCAGCCAGGCGGCACCTGGAAAGTCTCGGAGCCGTGCAATAAGGGGGAGCCCCAGGAAGGAAGCCAGGGAGTCAGGGGAGTGGGTGCCGGCAGGGAGCAGAGGCAGGCGCACAGCGGCCTGCTGGGGGCGGGAGCAGAGGGTGGACCCGGCTGCCTTCTGTGTGTGGAAGTCGCTGGCCGTGGGGCTGTTGGGGGCAGGGGTGGATCAGGGGCCGTGCACCTAAATGGTGATGGCGGTGGCTGGCCGTTCCGGCAGCTGAGATCCGGGGAGTGCGCCAGCATCGCGGTGTCCAGAAGCCTTTGGAGGCCAGGGTGGGCTTGAAGGCGAAGTGGCCTCTGCCAAGCCTTCAGTGGTGGAGCTGGGAGCGAGGGAACAGCACCGGAGCGCAGGCCGCAGGCCACGGGTGGGAGCCGGCCGGCAGCGTGGTGCGGTGGCATTGGCATCCCTCTGCCTGGCGTCCTTGTCCCTTTTCCTTTGTCGGGCACAGAACACACCCGTGTTCTGCAGGGGGATAGCCCATGCTTTTCCTTGTCCTGTGATGTGACAGGATAGGGGTCTTAGGCTCAACACAGTGCTTGCAGGAAGTGACTTGTTGGAGGTTGGCTGGTCAGGCTGTGCCCAGGACGTCTGAAGCTTCCATCCCGGAGCACAGCCGTGGGGTCTGTGAGAAGTCCGCTCTCGCCGGCCGGGCCGGGCCCCCCGACAGCACCGGGCCTGGAGGAGTCTGGGCGCTGAGGGTGCCTGTTTGTTTTCTCTTCCAGATACAACGGTGAAGTCGGAGACATTGTGGTGGGGAGGATCACAGAGGTACGTTGGGCGCCGGCGTCTCGCCGAGCCGAGGCGAGCTGGGGTCTTTCCCTGAGTGGGATGGTCACTCGTGGTTAACCCCGCTGACATGCTTAGTTGCGTTAGGCCGCCGTGTGACGGTGATGGGGCCATTAGGCCCGTCACGTCCGGGGTTACTGTCAGCTGCGATGTGCGCGCTGGCCCCGGAGCGTGTGTCCAGGAGTGCGGGGTCTGTCTGCAGGTTCAGCAGAAGAGGTGGAAGGTGGAGACCAACTCCAGGCTCGACTCAGTCCTGCTCCTGTCGTCCATGAACCTCCCTGGAGGAGAGCTGGTAGGGGCCCCGGCGGGCTCCTGGGGCTTCCTGGGGGCCAGCAAGAGGCGGGGGCCCGTGTCTCCAGCGGGGAGCTTTGCCCCGCGCTCGGGGCGTCCCTGTGTGCTGCCCAGGTCGCTGTGCGGCTGTTCACCTGGCCCAGGTGCCCCAGCGCAGGCAGGGTGCGGGGTGGGATCAGCGCAGGGCAGAGCTCTCACACCGGTGATCCCCGGGAAGCCGAGTGCAGAGGAGTCTGTTGAATGGCGTTTGCTCACCCAGACATTCCAGACGGCCGCAGTGACTAAGCTGCGCCCTTCTGTAAGATGCCACGGCTCACCTTTCTCACGGGCGCTCGCTGCGCGGGGTCCTGAGCCGAATGCCAAGATAAAGGAGGCATGGCTGAGTTCCCCAGAGAGCTTCCAGCCGGCTGGAGCCGAGAGATAACTGACAACAAACACCTGGCAGCGTGCCGGCGGACAAAAGGAGTGATTAATTTCAGCGAGAGCCGCTCCTAGGCAGGGCTGGCATCGGAATTGATCCTTGGAGGCTGGAGAGAATTTAAATGAGCTCAGGCAGTCGGAGATAAAAGCAAATACGTGAGCAGAGACACAGGCGTCAGGATCAGCAGGTGGTGTGTCCCATGGGAGCCGCTGAGGGTGGGCGGCTCAGGTGAACCCCTCGGGCCTTCGTTCGTAGCGTGTGGCCATCTGAGCAGGTGGCCTCCCAGCGTGCGGCCATCCTAGTGTGTGGCTGGCTGAGCACGTGGCTGTCCTAGCGTGTGGCCATCCTAGTGCGTGGCTGTTCCAGTGTGTCCTAGCGTGTGGCCGCTGTGGTTGGCTTCCAAGATCTCGGGGGTGTGAGCGCGGCCGCGGGCAGAGCGCTGTGCCGGCTGACGTGCGCATGCTGTGTGTGTTTCAGAGAAGGAGGTCCGCGGAGGACGAGCTGGCCATGAGGGGCTTCCTGCAGGAAGGGGACCTCATCAGTGTATCCTGCACCCCGGACGCCTCCCCGATGGGTGGGGTCCCTGCCATGGTGCACGTGGCATCCTGGCCGAGACGGGAGGCCTGGGGCATGCCACCTGCCCACAGCACCGTCCAGAGTCGGGCTCTTGGGGCGGAGCCGGAGGAGGAGTTGATGGAGGGGCGGGGCCACGCGAGGCCGCTGTTTGCTCCTTCATCACCCTGGCCAGGCTGAGGTCCAGGCCGTGTTCTCGGACGGAGCCGTTTCTCTGCACACGAGGAGCCTGAAATACGGCAAAGTAAGTGGGCTCTTGCTGTTGTGGGTGCCCGCCTGCATCTGACTTGCCCTGGTCCTGAAACTCTGATTTAGGGAACCCCGGGGTGAAGCGCACGGGCGGGCGGGCGTCCCCCGCACTGATCGCTCCTTGCGTTTGGTGGTCGTGGGTGGGGAGCTTTGTAAGCTTTGTAAGCGACAATGAGGCCTGAGAGCTGTATTCTCTGCTCCCTCCAGGGGGCGCTGCAGCCCGAGACAAAGCCCCACTGATAACATGAATACTGTTAGCTGCAGATGGGTTTGTCATCTGGGCCTGCAGGTGACACTCCTCGGCTGTTCCTGTGGGAGGCAACATTATCGAGGCTGTTTGTTTTTAAGACAGCCTACTTCTTAACACATTACGAGTTATTAGCCTTGGCTCTGAGTGGGTGGAGCGCTGCATTTCCTGAGTGGAACAGACCTCAGCGACGGCCCGGGTGACATGCGACCCCACGGGCCGGGGCAGCGACCCCCAGCAGCATGCGGACTTAGGGCTGGCCCAGCTCTTGGCCAGGAGCACCCATCTCGCCGGCGAGACAGGCATGTGGGGTTAAGGTGCAGGCGCTGGGGTCATTGCTTCTTGGCCGACAGGAAGCTGGTGTTCAGGTCCTCACCAGCGCCGGCTCCCCTGACAGCCAGCGCGCCAGCCGTGCGTCAGCGCGTCACGGCCACCGCGGAGGGGAATGACAGCAGGGAGTGCCGGGAGTCTCCCGTCGGGGCGTCGTGAGCCCAGACGCGTGCTCCATAGGAGTGCATGCTGGCGACAGCGAGTGTTAGCGGAAGGGCACCGCGTCCGCGGGCGGTCCTGCTCACCGTGTGTTTCTGCAGCTAGGCCAAGGTGTCCTGGTGCAGGTGTCGCCCTCGCTGGTGAAGCGGCAGAAGACCCACTTCCACGACCTGCCCTGCGGCGCCTCCGTGATCCTTGGCAACAATGGCTTCATCTGGATCTACCCGACCCCCGAGTACAAGGAAGAGGACGCGGGGGGCTTCATCGCAGACCTGGAGGTGAGGGAGCCACGCGGCCCGGTGCCACGTGTTGCTTTGGTCCCCACTGCCCTGTGTCGCTAGGGGTGTTGTTCCATGAGCTCAGGCGGCCCCGATGTCACTGTGCGATGTGACCCTGGGGGGAGCCCGGCCCTGAGCGGAGCCTCACCAGCCTGCTGCCGTCTGAGTTTGCATTCCTCCAGGGAGGTTTGCTCGTGGACGCGGCCCTGCCTTCTCCCCGATGACTGGTCTCTCTTGGTGGGCGGAGAAGGCAGAGCTGCAGGGTGCCAGGCAGGGAGCTGCGGAAGCCCTCTGTCGCCCTCCCTCGCAGCCAGCCGCCTGGGTGCAGTCCCAGGGTGACACTGGCGTCAGGAAAGCGGTCCTTGTCGCGAGTCCCGGGGCCAGTCACTCACCCACCCTGCTCTGTGGCCCTTCCCTGGGCTCCCCCAGCCCGTGTCCCTCGCCGACCGAGAGGTGATATCCCGGCTCCGGAACTGCGTCGTCGCGCTGGCCACCCAGAGGATGATGCTGTATGACACCAGCATCCTGTACTGCTACGAGGCGTCCCTGCCGCATCAGGTACCCCGGGCTGCCCGTGTCCTCCGGGACCCCTGATCCGGGCAGTCCAGCGCGCCCTCAGCTCCACGTGCCCCTGCTGTGGCCGTCAGGATGAGCTGACAGCCACCCTGGGAGCCTGCTGGGTCCTCCCCCAGACACCGGCAGCGTTCTCAGTGTGGTCGTGGGCGGGCAGGCGGGCGGGCTGGGTCTGCCAGAGGGGCCTGCTTTGGGACACTAACCCCGGACTTTGTCCTGTGCAGCCCAAATTTCTGCTTGTTTGCTGTCTTATTTTAAAATTATTATTACTTGAAAGGCAGAGTTACCGAGAGAGACAGATCTTCTATCCGCTGGTTCACTCCCAAAAAGGCTGTAACAGCTGGGGCTGGGCCAGGCCGAAGCCAGGAGCCTTATCTGGGTCTCGCACGTGGGTGCAGGGGCCCAGTATCTGGGCCATCTCCCGCTGCCTTCCCAGGCGCATCAGCAGGGAGCTGGGTCAGAAGTGGAGTCGACTTGAACCGGAGCCATGTGGGATGCCGGGGTCACTGCTTGACCTGCACCACAGGGCTGGCCCCCAGCTCCTTCCTTTAGTGGATGTCAGGTCAGAGCTGTTCTCGGCGTCACCGTACGCCGGCGGGTCCTGCTGACCGCGCAGGCCGGGGCGGCAGATCCTGTCCTGCTGCGCCCGCCGAGTGTGACGAGGAGCAGAACGGGCTGTGTGGGCCGGGCTGGCTGGCTGTGCTCGCCTGGGTGCGGCGGCTCTGCAGATGGTGGGTTTGTTTACCAACAAACACCTTGTTTCCTTTTTGTTTTTTTTTCAGATCAAAGACATCTTAAAGCCAGAAATAACGGAGGAGATTGTATTGGAAACGCGCCAGAGACTTCTGGAACAGGAAGGCTAAGCGGCTTCCGAGGGGTGGCCCGGCGTACCTTGCTGGAGCGGCTCTCCCCACGAGGTCCCACCTGCAGCTCAGAGAAGCGCTGAGAGACGCTCGCTTTGCCTGCGTCACAGCCGCGTGGCCGCCTCCAGCCTGTGGCCTGCCTTCTGTCCCAAGACAGCCTGGGGCAGTGAGCAGCACTTCCGGCCTGGGGTTTGCCGCCCGAGGCCCAGCACTGGTGGGCGGTTTTGGGTTTTGCAGTGCCGCGTCCAGGCCCTCCCACACCCCAGAACAATGAGGAGACTCGCTTGTCTCCCACTCTGTCATTCACAAGGGCCAGTGCCCTGTGCACCTGCCCCCAGTAGAATGGTGACAGCCCTCACCCCACACGCCGTGCGCCGGCCTCCGTCCCCACCGCCTCGGAGAACACAGCCGGCAAGGGCGGCCAGCAGTGAGGGGGAGAATAAAGGTGGCCTCCCGCGTGCTTGGAAGCTCGTTTCCCATCGCGTGTTCCTTCCAGAGACGGCCACGCGAGGCTGCCTGCGCCTGCCGGCCCAGGAGCGCGAGCTGGGAGAGGCCGGGTGGTCCTCAGAGAGGATGAACGTCCTGGCCCGTGTGCTTCCGGGTGCTTTAATGGGCATAAAGGGAACAAATAAGAAAAGTGGAGATGGGAAAGCAAGGCTGTTTTCTTCTGATAATTGAAGTAGTAACACATTAGCTTCTGAATTGTTCAAGGTTAAGAGATTAAAGCAGGAAGCTGAAGCTCTCAGAAGTGTTAGAATTCCCATTTGTCCTGAGAACCAAAAAGTGATACCCTGGGGCCAGCGCGGTGGCATGGCAGTAAAACCATGCTACATGCCCGCATCCCATAGGGGCGCCTGTTTGAGACCGGCTGCTCCACTTCCGATCCAGCTCTCTGCTGTGGCCCGGGAAAGCAGTGAAAATGGCCCGAGTGCTTGGGCCCCTGCACCCCCATGGGAGACCCAGAAGAAGCTCCTGGCTTCTGATCGGCCCCGCTCTAGCTGTTGTGGCCATCTAGAGAGTGAACCAGTGAATGGAAGCCCTCTCTCTGTCTCTGCCTCTCTGTAACTCTGCCTTTCAAATAAATATATACATCTTTTAAAAATTAAAAAAAAAATGATGCCCTGGTAGTTTTACTTATTTGAAAGGCAGAGTGACAAAGAAATCTTTATCTGCTGGTTCATGCCCCAAATGACTGCAACGGCCAGGGCTGGGCCAGGCTGAGCCCAGGAGCCAAGAACTCCATCCATGTTTCCCCTGGTGCCAGGGCCCAGGGCCCTCCTCCACTGCTTTCCCAGGCGCATTGGCAGGGAGCCAGATGGGAAGTGGCGCAGCCAGGACTGCATCTGCGGTCAGATTTGGGAGGCACCGCCTGCCGCTTCCTGGGTCTGCAGCAGCCGGAAGCCGGGGTCGCTGGAGCTGACCTCAGTCAGGAGCGTCGTCCTGGTGAGCGTGTTGATCACGGCCAAGTGCCCGCCCGTTTAGAAAAATTGCAAGGTGTCCTGTGCAAGTGCGGTTTATTGCACGTATGTGAACTGTGTGAACTGTTTTAAAGTCATTGATCTGAAAGACACAGTAATAGGACCCTCCGTCCACTGGTTCATGCCCTGAAAGACACAGTAATAGGATCCTCCGTCCACTGGTTCATGCCTCAAATGGCTGCACCAGCCAGGGCTGGACCAGGCGGGAGCCAGGAGCTCCATCTGGCCTTCCTATGTGGGTGGCAGAAACTGAAGTGCCTGAACCATCATCCGTTGCTGTCCCCTGTACGTTACAAGGGGCTGGGTTCAAACCAACACTCGGGACAGAGGCTTCCAGGCGGCGGCTTAACCCGCTGCTCTGTGCGCCTGCGGGAGCTGTTTGGTGACGCTGGGAAATGCGCTGGCGTCACTGGTTTCTCATCTGAGGCTGGGGTCATTCGGAGCTGCATGCGGCTTGAGGAGGGCGTGGATGACGCCCCGGTGGACACCTCGCCACTGCGCGGCCACCTGGGAATGCGAACCCGAGAGCTTCGGGGTAGTGACTGAACCTTGCCTTTTTGACGGCTTTGAAATACAGCGTGTCTCTGATGAAAAAGCATGCTTCTTTGTAACATTACTCTGTACAGTTTCATTTCATTCTTATTTTTCTCAAGTTGTATCACTTGTTTTGTTGAATTTATCTGAAAGAGTTACAGGGTGGGGGGAACGTCCATCCGCTGGTTCACTCCCCAAGTGGCCACGATGGCTGGGGCTCAGCCAGGCGGAAGCCGGGAGCCTGGAAGTTTATGCAGGTCTCCCACATGGGTGCAGGGACCATCCTCTACTGCTTTCCCAGGTGTAGTAGCAGGGAGCTGGGTTAGAAGCTGAGCAGCTGGGATGAACCAGTGTCCATATAGGAAGCCAGTGTTGCAGATGGTTGCTTACCCCACTGCATTACAACACTGGCTTCTGTGTTTGTTTGTTTGTTTGAATTTATTTGAAAGAGTTATAGAGACAGAGAGGTCTTCCATCTGTTGGCCTGCTCCCCAAATGGCTGCAACAGCCAGAGCTGCACCAATCAGGAACCAGGAGCTTCTGGGTCTCCCACGTGGGTGCAGGGGCCCAAGGACCTGGGCCATCTGCTGCTGCTTTCCCAGGCCACAGCAGAGAGCTGGATGGGAAGTGGAGCAGCTGGGACTTGAACCGGTGCCCATATGGGATGCTGGCACTGCAGGCCAGGGCTTGAACCCGCTGCGCCACAGCGCCGGCCCCTGTTTGTTTCATTTTGTGGTTGCTGCTTTTTTCTAAGTGCCATCCTCCCCTCCCCCTTTATGTAACTTCATTTGAAAGGCAGACAGATCTTCCTTCGAGTGGTTCAGTTCCCAAATGCCTGCAACAGCCAGGGCTGGGCCGGGCCAAAACCAGGAGCCCAGCTCTCAGCTCCGGTCTCCTACGGAGGTGAGAGGAAGCCGAGTTCTCCGGCCGGCGCCTGCTGCCTCCCAGGTGTGAGGGAGCAGAAAGCCGGATTGGAAGGGTGGGGACGGGCACTCTGACGGGACGTGGGCCTTGCAGGCAGTGCCTTAATCACTAAGGCTAAGACACAACATCCTTAGAAACATCCCAGCACCTCAGAAACGCACAGCCGAAAGCGTGGTCTGGGTGCCTGTCGCTGTGTTCAGACGCCTCTCGCTTCCTGTTGTCTCGGCCTCCACTAGCTTCTCGGGCCCGTGTTACACGCGTGTGTGCAGTAACGCGTCCACACCTTTACCTGGACACATCACTTAGTCTTTACAAAAGTGGAGTCACGCAGGGTCCCGCAACTTAAGCTGTTCTCTGAAGGACGCCCCGGAGCGCCTGTCACAGGTAGTGGCTGGGCTCTCCTGTCCCCTGGTGGTGTTCGTGGCGTCACCTGCTTTGAGCTGTGTGCGGACAATGTTCCATAGACTGTGGCGTGACTTTAGATGGGCCGGCTGCCCTGTTTGAGAGGCCCACGCTGGATGCCTTTGAGAGAGGGGATTGGGACACTCGGATTTGACCACGGCTGTACATATAAGCGCCTCTACCCTGCTCCTGGGGTCTGTCCCAGACTGCCGTCAGTATCTGCCGAGGATGGACCACGAGATTGACCTATGCCGGCAAGAACCTTCCCATGCCTGCATTCCTCCTCTGTCTCAGTAGAGGGCGCCCTTGCTAAGTGTAATTCCAGTGGGTGTTTTTTAAAAAATGGAATAAACAGATTTTTTTTTTCACACTGGTGTAACCTGGTGGGCTGCTTTGTCTAAACTGAACTTTTAGTGGGAATGCGTGAGCCTACAGGCTCTGACTCAGCCTTTGCCAACATTCAGTTACTTGTGACAGTCACACATTTGCTCGGCTCTGGATTCCAGGTACAAGCCCTTAAAGACATCATTCTGTGGTGTTACACGGGGGGTTATAAAGCAGAGTGCATCTCCAGGGAGAGAGGTACGGCCAGGGCGTGGGGCTCTCCTGTCACTGGGAATGGAGACCAGGACAAGTCTTCAGGTCAGGTGCAGCCCACAGTGACTTCCGGGAGCCTCAGTCACCGTCTCCGTGGAAACCCACGCCAGGTCTCGTTTGGACCTCAGGATGACCTCGTAAGGGAAGCAGCCCCGAGCCCCACGAGCAGGTGAAGGAGCCAGGTGGGTCCCCTGGGAAGGTGTCGGCGGGCAGGGGGGAGCAGCTGGCAAAGGTGCCGGGTCCGAGATGAGACTCCCAGCGTCCAGACGGCCCCTGCCCCTCGCAACACGCGCTCTGAGCGCGAGGGCAGCGTGTCCACCGCGGCACCCAGCACCGCCGGACGCCTGCTGGGTGCGTCTGTTGGAGTTCTGATTCGATTACCCGGATTTTAGCCAAACTGGAGGACGAAGACGTGGAGGAAGTGAGTGAAGCGTGCATGGGCTCACAGGAAAAGCAAACGCCACCCCCCGCCCCCCCACTAAAGAAAAGTGAGGGCGCTGAGCAGGGTCAATGGTGGGAGGGACCGATGCCGCCGGTCAGGGCCGCCCGCCCGCGCGAAGCCCAAGCGATTAGCCCCGAAGACCCTCAGGGCCCCACCTGCTGCGCGTCCAGGGACCCCAGGGGCCCTCTCCTCGCGAAGCCGGTGCCGGTTCCCAGCCCAGCGGAAGCCCCTGCGAGACCCCTGGCGCCCCCGCGGCGGGGGCAGCGTCCCGAGGCCTGGGGCGCACGGCAGAGAGGAGGAAACCCCAGCCCGCTTCCGCGTCCGCACTCGGGGAGCCGGCCCCGGGGCGCAAGGCGACGGCGCACTCGACGGAGGCCGGCCCCGGGCCCGGGGCGAGCGCTGCTCCTGCCCGGGCGCCGCCCCTGCGGCCCTGTCTTCTCCAGCGCCGGGGTCTGCAAGGGCGCAGGGGCGGAGCGCACCGAATCCCCCGGTTTCCAGGAAGGAATCCGACTCCGGTTCTCGGAGAATCCGATCCACAGCTTGGCCCCTGCTTTGGCGCCCCGCCGGCCAGCCCGACGCGAGGCCGGCGAGAGCACCGGCTCCGGAGAGCTACGGCCAGAAGCGCTTCAGCCGGGAGCAGCGCGCAGGACGCCTCGGCGCCGCGGGACTACAACTCCCGGCACGCCCCGCGGGCTGCGCCGACTTCCATTGGCCGAAGCCTCCAGCATGCCAGCCCGCGTCGACCAATGGGATGGAGGAGAGAGGCCTGGCCAGGATCCTCGGAGGCCAATCGCAGTACAGGGGAGGCGGGCGCTTCCTTACCACTCACCTTGCACTCGGAAAAGTCGCCTTTAAAAGGTCGTCCCGGGCCGGGCTCCTGCGAGGCACTGAGGCCAGAGCCAGAAGGTGCGACGGGGTCCCAGGAAAGCGGCGCCGGGGGCATCCCAGTCCACGCGAGGCGGGCTCCGGACGGCGCCGGGGGGCGGGGCCGGGGGCGGGGCCTGGCCTCGTTGTGGAGCGGCTCGTAATCCATCATGGCGGCCGCGGGGGTCGGCCACTGTCCCTGAGCAGCGCCGAAGTCGGAGCCGGTTCCTGGGTGCTGCGGTTGAGGAGCCCCTTCGTGGCCCACGGCCCCTACCGGCGGGGGGCAGGCGGGGTCCCTCGGCGGAGTTCGGGGGATGTGACTGCTTGGCGGCGGCGGCAGCGTCCGGGGCCGCGGGACGGGGGTGTCTCGGGCAGAGACCCCCGGGCTCGGGGCAGCTGAGGCGGCCAGGCCTCCTCTCTCGTCGGCCCGTCTCCCGCCTTCGGGCCGCGCGAGTCTTTCGTCTCTGCAGCCCCGCCGCGGCTCTGGGACGCCCCCCCCCCGGGGTGGTCTCTGTTCGCTCCGGACGTGGGACGCCCCCGTTTCCTGAGGCGTGGAGAAGCGTCGCCCCCCGAGTAAGCCGCCCGTGCCCCGCCCCGGAGTCGCCCCCCGCTCCCGCTGCCGGCCCCAAGGCTGGCCGCCGGAGACCCCCATTCAGACCCGCTGCGTGCTGTCAGGTGGCCTCCCATGGCCCGCCAGGTTGCCCCCGCCAGCCTCTGATGCCCTGACTTCTTCCAATGTCACCTACGGCCCCCTTGGTCTCAGCCCAGCCAGAAACTTCCATGCAAAGGAAGAGCCTGGATTGGTTTCACAGGCCTTTTAAAAAGCGGACTTAAAAGTTGCTGGCCATGCATTCCGTGCCGAGCGCGCCGAGATCCGGCTGACCCGCGCGTCCTTTTCCGGAGGGCCGGGGAGAGCGAGGAGCCGGAGCGCAGCCGGCCCGGCCCGGCCCGGCGGGAGCTTTGCTGGGGGACAGGCGCGGGCGAGCACCCCGGGGCCCGCGACGCTGCCGGAAGGACTAAGGGATTGTCGCCCTGCGCCCCACCGCTCCGGGAATAGTTCTGCTTAGGTGCGTCTTCCCAAAAAAGAAAAAGCGTGGTTCACTCAGTGGAGTATCCTTAAAGACGGCGAAACCTTTGGGGAGTGTGGGAATCACCTTACTCCCCAAAGCCCGAGGCTGGGAACAGTCAGCGGGCCCCCCGTGTCCATGCGTGGAGCCCCCGGCAGGTGCCTGCCCGCGACTGCCCGTGCGGGCCGCCGTGGCGTGGCGGGCATGCGCTGAGTGTGGAAGGCCCCGCCGAGGCCACCGACCGTTCCGGAAGCTCCTGGACCCTCTTCTGGAAAGGGGAGCCCCGCGCTAACTTTATGGGGCAGCAGCCTGGAAAAGTTCTTGGGGACCAGAGAAGGCCGAGTCTGCCCGCCCTGCACTTCATCAAAGGAGCCGGCAAGAAGGACTCGGCGCGCCATGGGGGCCCGCACTGCAACGTCTTCGTGGAGCACGGTGAGTGTCGCGGGCGCGTCCCGGCGGCTCCGCGGGTGCCCGTGCCTGCCGCGTCCGCGGGTGCCCGTGCCTGCCGGCTCCGCGGGTGCCCGTGCCTGCCGCGTCCGCTGGGCGCTCGCGGTGGTCCCGGAGCCTCGCGTGGAACCCGCTTAGTCCTGGAAACGGTGTCCTGGTGCCTGCGTGCCCCCTGCACACCGAGCCGTGCGCCGCGTCCCCTTGGTGCTGACCCGGGGCCTCCGTTTCCCGACCAGGTGGCAGTTAGCTGGCTTCTTCGCGGCGGCTCCCCGACTCGCGTGGGTCCTTAGCGAGCCCGCGTCTGTTCTCACGGTTTGGGAACCTCAGGTCTCAGTTGACACGGAACCCCCTGGCCTTTAGGAGGGCAGTGGGGCC